TTTTGAGATGCAGTCTTGCTCTGTAACCCAGGCTGGAGTGCAGCAGCGCGATCTCAGCTCACTGCAACCTCTGCCTCCCGGGTCCCGGTTCAAGCAATTCTCCTACCTCAGCCTCCCAAGTGGCTGGGATTACAGGCACAAGCCACCATGCCCAGCTAATTTTTGTATTTTTTTTTTTTTTTTTGAGACGGAGTTTTCACCATGTTGACCAGGATGGTCTCGATCTCNGTAGAGACGGGGTTTCACCATGTTGACCAGGATGGTCTCGATCTCTTGACCTCGTGATCCACCCGCCTCGGCCTCCCAAAGTGCTGGGATTACAGGCTTGAGCCACCGCGCCCGGCTAATTTTTGTATTTTTTAGTAGAGACAGGGTTTCACCATGTTGGCCAGTCTGGTCTTGAACTCCTGACCTTGTGATCCACCCGCCTCGGCCTCCCAAAGTGCTAGGATTATAATCGTGAGCCACCATGCCTGGCTAATTTTTGTATTTTTTAGTAGAGACGGGGTTTCACCATGTTGGCCAGGCTGGTGCCGAACTTGTGACTTCAGGTGATCTGCCTGCTTTGGCCTCCCAAAGTGCCGGGATTACAGGCATGAACCACTGTGCCTGGCCAATCCAGCTAATTTTTAACTTTCATATAGATGAGGTCTCACTATGTTTCCCAGGCTGGTCTGAAACTCCTGGGCTGAAGTGATCCTCCCACCTCGGCTTCCTGAAGTCTGCAACAGGCATGAGGCACCACTCCCAGCTAGAACTGGTATTTATAAAGTATCATCAGGAAGCACCTCTTCATATCACTGGCCTCTCCGAATCCTGCCTCCAGTCAAGCTGGACTGCCAGAAAGTGAGTGGCTTAGGTGGCTTTATTCCACTCTGCTGCGGATTTGTCTTTTAACAGAGTTGAATGTTAATATCACCAGCCCTGCCAACCTCCACCTTGTTCTGCCAACCTTCATGGACTTCACCAACAAGCTCATTCTTCAGCTCTGGGAACTGGGAAGGAGGGAGATACTTGACTGGGGACTTGGGCTCTGTGTGGTGGGTCATGGCAAACATGGGTGCCTGCCTCTGCAGGGAACCTGGGCCTTTTCCGTTACTCTGAGGCTGGGCAACAGCGGGGCTTCTGAAAGTGGTGATCTCAGCCTGCACTCAAGCTTTTGCAAGTTGGCTCTCTCAGCAGGGCAGTGCTGACATACCTTCCAGCAGTGTCTAGAAACCCAAATGGGAGAGCGAAAATGCACAGGAGGGTCAAGCATGGTGACTCACACCTGTAATGCCAGCACTTTGGGAGGCCGGGCCTAGGCGGGTGGATCATTTGAGGTCAGGAGTTTGAGACCAGCTTGGCCAATATGGTGAGATCTTGTCTCTACTAAAAATACAAAAATTAGCTTGGTGTGGTGGTGTGTGCCTGTAATCCCAGTTACTTGGGAGGCGGAGGCAGGAGAATCCCTTGAACCCGGGAAGCAGAGGTTGCAGTGAACTGAAATTGTGCTACTGCACTCCAGCCTAGACAACAGAGGATGACTCTGTTTCAAAAAATAAAAAGAAAAAAGCAGTGGATACTTTGGTGATGGGAGCTGATGGGCTGATGGACTGGATGAGGGCTACAGAGTTTTTTTTTCATGAATTTTGACTTAAGACACCAAAGGCTCTGGCATCTAGAATTATACAGTATTAGTTTTTCATCAATTACTAATATAAAGGGAATCACTGCATCTGGATAAACTAGGTAGATTTAAATACAGATGTAAGGCTTTATCTGGTTGGCTGAATCAGTGTTATTAATCCTTTGGATCATATTTTTTTAAAAAAAATCTAGATCCTTATTAAGTATTGAGTAGTGAAAGGAATTGATGTACATAAAATGGTACCCACATATCTTGATATCATCTCCTTTATGAAAGCTTCTCCTCTCTCTAGTACTGCCACAAACACTTTGCTGACACTGAATATTTAATGTCTAGAATTATAGTTTTTGGAGTAGGTTTCTTATTCTGACCTCTAGATTGTCCTTCTTTTACTCACCTTTATAATTCTGTAATATTTAGCCGGCGCTTCCTGGATGGAAGGTCTTTACAAGCTGCATATGGAATCAAATTTAAGTGGATTGAGTGCAAGCCTGAGAGTCAGGGCTGGAGTTTTTGGCTGTAGTCCTGGCCCAGTCACTGGCAAGTTGTGTCACCTGGCTGGCTATTTCTTCGAGCCTTGGTCTTCTCTCCCCCTTATCCCTCCCTCCTCCGCCATTGTCCCCATTTGCTATCCTGTCCCAGACTTTGTTACCCTGTGCCTTCATTTCAGTAACTGGTCTGTACTACACCATATATTCCCATGTGGCAGCGTGTACTGTTTTGACACAGTATTTCATTTAATATTCATAATTTATGACTGGGTGCTGTGGCTCACACCTGTAATCCCAGCACTACAAGAGGCTGAAGCAGGAGAATCGCTTGAGGACAGGAGTTCAAGACCAGCCTGGGCCACACAGTGAGACCTTATCCCTACAAACAATTTAAAAATTAGCTGGGCATGGTGGTACTTGCTTGTAGTCTTAGCTGCTCTGGAGGCTGAGGAAGGATTGCTTGAGCCTGGGAGTCTGAGGCAGCAGTGAGCTGAGATTGCACCACTGCCCTCCAGCCTGGACAATAGAGCTAGACTCTGTCTCAAAAACCAACAAACAAAAAACAAACTGACTCATAACCTGTGAGATCTATGAGATGGATATGGATATGATAAGCTCTACCTCTCTACTTTTCAGCTGATAAAACGGGCTGAAGAGTGAGTGTTGTGTCTAAGGCATTAGCAAATGGTCAAATATGGATCTGAACCTAGATGTGTATGATGTCCGATGTACTCCGGTTACTACTAAAAATGACTTTTGATTAGAATTATTTTCAGAAAGCCCCACTCTAAAATTATTATACTCAAACTAGTATACCCTCTGAACTAGTATAGCATATAAACTAGTTAACATTCTCTGCCGGGGGTGGTAACTCATGCCTGTAATCCCAGCACTTTGGGAGGCTGACTACTTGAGGTCAGGAGTTAGAGAACAGCCTGGCCAACATGGTGAAATCTGGTCTCTACTAAAAATACAAAAATAAACTAGGTGTGGTGGCGGGCACCTGTAATCCCAGCTACCCGGGAGGTGAGGCAGGAGAACCGCTTGAACACAGAAGATGGAGGTTGCAGTAAGCCAAGATCACGCCACTGCTCTCCAGCCTTGGCGATAGAGTGAGACTTGGTTTCAAAAAGAAAAAAATAAAATAAATAAAACAAAAGAAAATAAACTAGTATACACTCTAAACTAGTAGTATGCTCCCCCATGCATGAAAACAGAAACACCATCTATAATTATGAGTGATTGTTGTTGTGGATCCAAGTATCTATGTAAAAAGCAGAAAGCCCACAGCCACAGTTGTCGTCATCCTTGTCGCAAACTTAATTACTGGGTAGAAATGTCGAGTGCCGCAGCCAAACGGCAGTAGGAGGAGCCTTTCCCACGGCGGAGGGGAAGGAGGGAAACCTAGACTCTATTTCTGGGTCTGCCTCGAGCTTCCTCTGCCGCCTTGGGCAAGTGACTTCAGTTCTTCGTCAATGTCCTGGATTAAGATGCGGCTAATGCCACTGCACTGATTTGCTGGGACAGGTGGTGGAATGTGGTGGTCGGGGCTGGGAGAGGAGAGGAAGGGCAATGTTTCCTAGGAGAAACTGCACTGTACCGGGGCAGCTGTGGTGCTGCCAAGCGCAGCGAGTGTGGCAAGCGGACGAACCTCTTGTCTTGCTTCCTTGTTTTAAAATTGGAGGTGGAGTGGGATGGATGGTCGATATGCAGCTCTCCCAGCTCTAAGTGCCCAAGTTCTGGGAGCTTGATTGCTTTCACGTCCCTTGGAAACAAATGGCAAAAATGAATTTCGCACAGTCTGGTACCAGCTTACCACCGCTGGCACTCTGTGCTGACATCTGCCATTCTTCAAACGCAATGACATACGTTTATTAAGGAATCATAGTCCATAACTAAGACAAAGTGAGCTTCAGTTACGTTCCCTAACTCGGTCCACGTTCCTTTAAAACGTCTCAAGTCGCATGTCACTCATCGCGGAGTCGCAGCCTTCCCCGGGGTTCAGGAGTCTGCGTTAAGCGCAGGCACAGCGTGGGGATCCCCGCGTGCGCTTTCCCCGCGGCGCCGGAATACACTGTTTTTGGATTCGCGTTAGGATTGCTTATGCTGCCGAATTTCAAAGAAATAAATGTATTAGAATTGCGACGCTTAAGGTCTCATCTATTTAAGCGGGTGGGTCAGCAGCGGGTCAACGGGAAACTTCAAGGTAAATCGTGGCCTCGGGAAAAGGCCGGGTCGCTCACAGCTTCCCACCGCCTCCCCAGAGCAGACGATTAATTTTTGTGTTTCAGGCAAACCCGCCGCTGCCCGGCCCTGTAACCGAGCTGGGGAGCGACGGGGGCAGAAACCAGGCCGAGCGAGCGGCGGGCTCGGGCCCCGGCGGGCGGAGGGGCTCCGGCTGGAGTCTCCGGGGCGGTGGAGGGGACTCGCCGCGCTGGGCACAAACTGCTTTCCCCCGCAGCGTCTGCATCCGAACCCTCTAGTCCAAGGAAGGGGATTAAAAGTGACAAAGGAAGGGGAAGGGGGGCTCCGTGGAGACGTCTGGAGGCGTGGAAGGGGCGTCCCCGAGGAGGGGCGAGCGGAGCCCCGCAGGGTGCTGGGCGGGCGGTGAAGGGGGCTGGGGGCGTCCGGGCCGGGGTTGGTGGGTGTCCACGGCCGCTTGCCCCGGCTGGCGGTGGGGCGAGGGGTCCCGCGCCCCCGGAGGGAGATGGGAGGCCGGCGGCGGGGGCGCGGGCGGCGGTCGTGCGCCCCGCCCCGCGCGGGGAGCCGGGCGCGCCTCCCCCTGCCGCGCCTCCCCCTGCCGCATGTGCGCGGTGTTGTGTGCCCGGCCCTGCTCCTCCCCCTCCCCCCCTCCCCTTCCCTCGCGCCGTCCCCTCCCCCAGCGGCCCGGAGCGAGCGCCAGCGCCACACAGCCCCGGGCCGCCGCCGAGCGCGCCGAGACGCCGAACAGGTGGCCGGAGGCTGCGGGCGCCGCGGCGGGGAGAGGCGAGGCGAGCCCCGGGCGAGGCGAGGCGAGGCGAGGGCGGCCGGGTCGGGCCGGGCATGCTAGCCGAGCGGCCCCCCGGCGTCGCCGCCGCCTGCCCGCGCCCCTAGCCGCCAGCGCGCCCGAGTCCCCCGCGGCTCCCCCGCTCCCAGCGTCCCCGGCCCGGCAGCTCCGTCTGCGCTCGGCGAGGGGCGCGGGCCCGCCCGCGGCGGCGGCGGCATGAAAGTGACCGTGTGCTTCGGACGGACCCGGGTGGTCGTGCCGTGCGGGGACGGCCACATGAAAGTTTTCAGCCTCATCCAGCAGGCGGTGACCCGCTACCGGAAGGCCATCGCCAAGGTGAGGGGCCGGGGGCGCGGGCGGGGAGGGGGGCGGCGGCGGGGACGGCGCCGGGATCAATATGGCGCTTCCTGGAAGGGGGAGGAGAGGCGCAGGGAGGCGGGGAAAGGGAAAGTGCGGCCGGGCCGGCCTCGCGGGCGCCCCCCGCCCCGGGCTGCGGGCGCCAAAGTTCTCCGCGCGGGCCGGGGCGCAGGCTCGGGGGCACCGCGCCGCGGTCCCCGCCGCCCCCGGGGAGCTCCGGCCTCCGGAGCGCAGGGCGAGCCGGGCTGCGGCGCACAGGCCGGCCCCGGGCGCCTCCCTGGAGTCTGCAGACCCAGCCAAGCCCCGAGCCGGCGCGCGGGGGGCGCGGGCCGGGAAATCCAGCCCCAGGCCTCTCCCGGCTCCCAGGCCCGGCGGGCACAGGCCGGGGACTGGGAACTTTTGGTGTCAGGAGAGTTTCGGGACTGCACTCCCGACCGAGGCGGGCTGCGAGCTTTCTCTCTCTTCTCCCTCCCTCGGGCTGGGGCGGGACCGCGGCGGGGGGCTTTTCCGTCTGCGTCCCCGGCGGGCCGGGGCGGCCGGCCTCGTCTGGGGGCTGCAGGGTTGGGGGAGTCTCTGGCTTGGGGTCGGGAAGGCGTTCCCGGGAGGGCCACTGCTGGCACTGGCTTGCGAGCATTTACTGAGCTGATCCCCCTTGCTGGGCTCGGGAAAGCACAGCCTCCGCACAGTCGCGGAATGAAAAGTTTTCCTGCGGGGACCTCAGCTCCTGCCCATCCCGGCTGCTTCCATGCGGGGGCCTGACTCGGGAGCCGAGTGGATTTCCCTTTTTCCTGCTGGAGTGGTAACATTGTCTCCACTTCACTGCATTCCTCTACTATGTGTCAGAAGTGAAAAGGCATTTTGTTAAATTGTTTTACCGACTGGGTCTGTATTTGACAACAGCCCACGCTGAAGTTTCTCCCAAGCACCCGAGGATACTCCCTTTGTCGTGGAGTTCTGTTTGGTGGGGAGCACATTCTCTTGGGTGCACTGTTTCCTATTTGTTCCCGACAGTGGCCTGGCGCCTGTGGGCTTGGGGACTGCAGATGACGTTGGAAAGTGGCTTGGCCAGCCCTATTGAGCGTACACCGGGTGCTCTGGGTGTCATCTTCAGTGATCTCAGAAATTAAGAAGAAAACGCTTTTTAGACTGCTGTTTTGCTTTTAGTCTATATTGGAAAAAATAGCATAAATGTGGCCTTTTAAAGATAATTTTGGGGGACGTTTAGGAACCTGACATAAGGCTGGAAGACGTTGGCTTTAATAGTTCTGTTATGTTCCTTACAGTTGGTTGAACTCTTTTATTGAAAATCAAATAAATTAGTGGGAATTAGGCACCTGTTTATCTTGCAAAGCTGAGAGGGAAAGAAAACCATCTAAATGGACGTTCAGCATTTTTAATGATTGTTTATGTGTGACAGTTTATGCTTTAAATGTTCCAAAAGAATACTCAAATTGTTCAGGTGCTCTGGAACCCAACAAAATAAATTGTGCAAGGAAAGAGACATAAAATAATACACACTCTGTAGTATGTCTTGGTTCCTGAATAGGTAGGATGATCGAAGTTCCCTTTCCCTTTACTAATTTTATGTGATTAAAATTGTTTTACCTACTGTGTCTCACGTTTCATCATGCACGAAATAGACATAGGCTGAACTGCCTGCCTGTTAGGCAGTAGTTCAAATGTGGTTGGTTGGTTGTTTGAGGCATTAACTCGTTCCACAGAAATTCTTAAGCTTTGACTATGTCCAAAGCACTGTTGTGGGTGCTGGACATCTAGGGGACCCACTGGCTGTGAGAGTGAGCAAGAGGCTGCGAGGTCCTCCAGGTGAAGGGACTGGTGGTGACATGGGGAGAAGAGGTGGCCTCTGGGATGCTGGGTAGCTAGATCAGGGCCTACCTGGCCCTTGTTATTAATGATTAGCAGTGGTGGTTTCACAGGGACCTGGGGCATGGAAAAGGGAGTGCAGATTGCTTCAGGGTATCTGGGAAGGTGTCACAAAGAGAAAAGGGGGGCCTATGAGATGAAGGAAGAGAGGGTGATAGTGTTATGGGAGCTGGAGGTGAGAGGGAGGGTGAGAGGTAGTTCGGGGGTCCCCACACTTACGTGCTCTTTAAGTACAACTTAGGGTTCAGTAGGTGAATTTGAACGGGGGCTTTGCAGTATACCAAGTTCAGTCATTAGGTCAGGACTGTGGACCCTCAGATGTTGCCAAAACTCAGGGGTCTTCTGGGCCCCTTTCTCCTTTTTCTTCTGAAATGGCTAGATAATGATTAAGATTATTTTAGTCTTACCACTTTTCCCATTCTATATTAAGTGTGAGAAAGTGTTAATATGTATTTAACATTGTTTTAACTTTTATTCTCTTACCTGTTCCTTACTTCCCCGTGTTGCTTAATAGAACAAGACAAATTCTGTGTGGAGAACTGGGTGGCTGGGGAGCTGTGGAGCAGGGTTTGGGTTGCTAGGTGACATGTGGTGTGATGAACTCCCATCTGGTGGGGAGAAATGTGGGCAGATCATGTTTATGGCTTTGTATGATAACCAACCAAGCCAAAATAAAAAATGAAAAGAGAAAGGTCCTAACTCCCAAATCACCAAGACTTTCTCTGCAGCAAACATTTTCTGGTGTGGTGGGGCTAATTTTCTGGCATTACATCTGAGCTGTTTTCTCCTCAGCTTACACAAATCAATTTTTCTGGATAGTGAAGTGCCATGATTTAATACTAGACATGTCCTCAGTGAGTCGTAGACATTTGAAGGCTTATGCTTAGTCATATGTGACATTTCTTTTTTCTTCTCGTGAAAGGTGTTTTTATGGTTGTGATCACTGATGGGTGGGACCAACTGTTCATCCCCATCCACCCATCCACATCGGGAGCCTCTCTGAGGACAGTGTGGTGCCAGACGTGGGGAGCGGCGTGACATGGACTGTTCTCACGAGGATGCAGGATGAGAGGATGGGCTGTGTCTGCATCTGTTCTTTTTTTTTTTTTCCTGAAATGGAGTTTTGCTCTTGTTTCCCAGGCTGGAGTGCAGTGGTGCGATCTCGGCTCACCGCAACCTCCGCCTCCTGGGTTCAAGCCATTCTCCTGCCTCAGCCTCCTGAGTAGCTGGGATTATAGGCATGTGCCACCACGCCTGGCTAATTTTGTATTTTTAGTAGAAACAGGGTTTCTCCATGTTGGTTAGGTTGGTCTTGAACTCCTGACCTCGGGTGATCCACCCGCCTTGGCCTCCCAAAGTGCTGGGATTACAGGCGTGAGCCACTGCGCCTGGCTGCATCTGTTCCTCTGTGCCTGTGGCCTGACACCCGTGATTCCTGGTGGACACGGTGCAGCGCAGCAGCACTAAATGTGGGGTTGGTTGAAGGGCTGCTGTGTGTAAAACCTCATGCTCTATGAAAAAAATGTAACAATGAATTTGTGCACTTTTCCAAAAAAAAGTATAACCTAGGAGACAGGAAGAACATACAAAACTATAAAAAACAGTAGGTGGTAGCATTAGTTGGCACCAGTGTGATACAGTCAGTAATCACTTCTGGATTTTGGAGGTGGGTGCCAATCATTACAGGGTGTGTGTGGGAGTCTCATTTAGTCACTAGGATTTGAACTGGGCTTGGTCAGTGGGAAGGCTGGCCTTGATAATAGGGCAGTGCTTGCTAACTGGGATGGGTAGTGACCTCAAAAGGCACCTGCCTGCAGGGGCAGAAGGGCTCTGGGTCTGTAGGTCTGCAGTTTGGGGCTCTAGTTGTGTGAATCTGCAGAATGTCTGCTATGATTCTGAGAAGTGAGAGGGAGGACCTTCCAAGAAGGCTCTGTGGACACAGGCGATTCAGGCATTCAGCCCAGTGGGTCAGGATCAAACTGAGAAGGACTGAACGCCAGGGTGAGACTCTGGGACTCCTTGCAGTAGGAAGGACTGTGGTATGTAGCTAGGAGGCAGGGCAATAATTAGTTCTAGGGGGATGACTTGAGCAACCTTAGATGAGGTTTGGGTGGATAATTCCTTAGCATTTCAGTCTAAATAAATGCTGCTGAGTGACCAAAAGGGGAAGAGGAGATTGAAGGGCAAAAGTGAGGAGAGGAGGTGCGGAGCCCCCCTGCTCACTGCTTCTCCTTCCCCCGTAGCCCTCCTCTCAGTGGATAGGGGAGCTTTGGATTGGGTTTGGTGATCTAGGTTTACAAGCCATTTAACCTTGGGCACACCAGCCCTACAGAGTGGAATATTCTCTGACGGGGTAAGTGTTGAACAGCATGATGAGAGGGAAACTCTTCAGTCCTGGGCCTGGCCCATACTACCTGCTCTATAAAGATGAATGGAGACACCAAAATGTCTTATCCACCAAGCAGTTTCCCACCCTGGGAACTTACTCAAGTGTTCCACTGTTGCTGCTTAGAGTTTTCCCTTTTACTGAAAAAGGCAGCAGGTAATTCACTGAAGGATTGCTGAGAATGTTAGGGTTGCCTGTGTGGCACCGCAGTCAGGAGAACACAATTGTGTGTCGCATGTGTGTATGGGCGGGGAAAGTAAAAGCTGTGGGTGTTGGCTTGATTACAGGTTGATTATTGGGGCCTCTGGCTTCTGGGCCACTGCTTCTGTCCCTCAGTGTGTCACTTTAGAATGATTTAATAGTAACCTGTTGTTATTACAGATTGAGTGTCCCTTATCCAAAATAGTTGGGACCAGAGAGTATTTTGGACTTTTTTGGACTTTGGGATATTTGTGTCTATCTAAAGAGATAGCTTGAAGATGGAACCCAAGTCTAATGTGTTGTTAGAATTTATGTATGTTTCCTGTGCACCTTATATACATAGCCTGAAAGGTAATTTTATGTAGTATTTCTGTGCTTGAAACAAAGTCTGTGTTAAATGCTTATGTGTGGAATTTTCCAGTTGTGGCATCACATGAGTCCTCAAAATGTTTCAGATTTTGGATTATTTGGGATTTTGGATTTTTCAATTAGGGATGCTTGACCTGTA